CTTCTCATGGCTCAAGGGACTGGCTCGGACACAGCAGTCAGGGACTGGAGGCCAGCAGGTATCGCCCATGGGCAGTCGGTGGGTATGCAATGCCCACGAGCCTGGAGCAGGCTTCTATTACCTGTGTGGCATGATGCTCCCCATCTTTCATTGGCCCTGAGCATTGCCTATACCTTCTTTGTGTTCAAGTCTCCTCAAGTTCTTTTTTTTGTGATGGGACTTGAACTCAGAGCCTAGGCCTCTTTGTGCTCAAGGCTGGTGCTCTCCCACTTGAGCCACAGAGCCATTTCTGATTTTTGGCACTGCTTGCTTATGGGGGGGGGAGGGGCTGATCTGAGTGTCAGCTGTGCCCACTCTGGTGTCAAGATCTGTCACCTGGGCCTGTCTCAGGGCAGGACAATGACAATGACAAGAAGAGTCTGTTCAGAACTTCCCAAAGGACTTAAAAAAAGATTTTTTTTCAGGTCCTGGGGCTTGAACTCTTGGCCTGGGCAGTGTCCCTAAACCTCTTTGTGCTCAAGGCTAGCGTTCTACTATTTGAACTACAGCACCACTTCCAGCTTTCTCTGGGTAGTATATTGGAGATGCATCTCATGGACTTTCCTGCCCAGGCTGGCTCTGAACAGTGATCCTCAAATCTCAGTCTCCTGAGTGGCTAGAATTACAGGCCTGAGCCACCAGTGCTTGGCTAAAAGGTTTTTGTTTATTGTCAGTTGTGGTACTTGAACTCTGGGCCTGGGCGAGGTTCCTCAACTCTTCAGCTCAAGGCGAGTGCTCTACCACTTGAGCCACAGTGGCACTTGTGTTTTTCCGGTGGTTTATTGGAGATAAGAGTCTCACAGACTTTCCTGCCTGGGCTGGTTTGAACCTTGATCCTCAGATCTCAGCCTCTTGAGTAGCTAGGATTACAGGCGTGAGCCACCGGTGCCCCGCTTTTTTTGTTTTTTGTTTTTTTGAGATAGGTTATCACCGTGTGCCCAGGCTGATCTCAAACTTCTGGGCTCCTGGGACCCTCCCACCTGCCTCCCGAGAGCTAGGTTAGCAGACACTGGCTACTGTGCTTGGTATCTCCATCCACCTTCGGGTTCTCTTGTTCTTTCTTCTGCCGGTTCACATCTACCTATAAGCCCTTCTAGAGGTTTTATTTCACTTACTGTGCTCTTTCTACTCCCCAAATTTTCATTTGACTCTTTTTCATCACATTCTCTTATTTGACGTGACATTGCGGTATGTTTCCTTTATCTATACGTGGTTTCCTTTAGCTCTGAGAACATGTGGATAAAAGCTACTTTAATCTTTTCCTGAAACAAACGCAATGTTTTGTCTGTCTCAGGGGTAGTTTCCGTTGCTGGCTTTTGCTCCCAGTTTTAGGTCATGTTTTCCTGTGTGTTTTTGTTTCTTTGTTGGTCATGATGCTTGAACTCTGGACCTGGCCACTGTCCCTCAGTTCTTTAGCTCAAGGATAGCGCTTTACCACTTTGTGCCACAACACCACTTCGGGTTTTCTGGTGGTTAATTGGAGATGAGAGTCCCATGGACTTTCCTGCCTGGGCTGGCATTGAACCACGATCCTCAGATTTCAGCCTCCTCAGCAGTTAGGATTACAGGCGTGAGCCATGGCTTTCCTCTTGTTTTTGAAAGCTTCATGTTTGTTGTTGATGCTAGAAACTAGACATACATTATTGCACTGCTGAATGAGAGTCCCCCACCAGAGCTCAATACACCATTCACGTGCTCATTTGCTCAGTGCCTGGGTCACTTCAGTGAGCCTATGTTCCCCCATTAAGCTTAGCCGCTGGGGTTGCTCCACAGGTGGGCACCGGGCTGATGTGTCCATGTCACTCAGAGTGGCCACAGTTTGGGTAGGGCCTCCCTCTGTCACTTTCTCTTGACCATACCCTGCTGCTAACCTACTGACTGCCAGCCAATGCTCTCCCATTTTCTCCAACGCCCTGAACGATAGATTACTTGACCAAGGAGTCCAGTCAAGTCTGCCGTGCATATGTGCATGCATGCTCCTGTGCACATACCAGCACTGGGGTTTAAACTTAGGGTCTTGCGTTTTTACTTTTTTTTTTTTTTGCTGGTCCTGGGGCTTGAACTCAGGGCCTGTCCCTAAGCCTCTTTGGGCTCAAGGCTAGTGCTCTAGCACCTGAGCCACAATGCTACTTCTGCCCTTTTTCTGTTTATTGGGAATAAGAGTCTCTTTTTCTTTTTTTGGTTGTAGGGCTTGAACTCTGGGCCTGGGCGCTGTCCCTCAGCTCTTCAGCTCAAGGCGAGCGCTCTACCACTTGAGCCACAATGCCTCTTCTGGTTTTCTGGCAGTTAACTGGAGATAAGAGTCTCAAGGACTTTCCTTGCCCGGGCTGGCTTTGAACCTCAATCCTTGGATCTTAGTCTCCTGTATAGCTAAGATTACAGGCGTGAGCCACTATCACCCGGCTCTCATTGACTTTTCTGCCCAGGCTGGGTTTGAACTGCAATCCTTAGATCTCAGCCTCCTGCATAGCTAGGATTACAGGCGTAAGCCACTGGTGTCCAGTGCTTATTTTTTCTTCTTTCTCTCTCTCAAGGCTAGCACTCTACTATTTTAGCCACAGTGCCACTTCCAGTTGGTTGCTGGTCAATTAGAGATAAGAGTCTCCCAATACTGGGACTTGAACTCAGGGCCTAGCCACTGTCCCTTTGTTCACTCAAGGTTGGCACTCTATCACTTGAGTCACAGCTCTAATTCCAGTGTTTTGGTAGTTAATGGGAGATAAAGAGTCTTGCAGCCTGGTGCGGGTGGCTCACACCTGTAATCCTAGCTACTAAGGAGGCTGAGATCTGAGGATAGCCGGTTAAAGCTATGATCGCAGTTCAAGGCAGGCAAGTCCATGGGACTCCTATTGACAATAAACCATCAGAAAACCAGAAGTGGTACTGTGGTTCAATTGGTAGAGCACTAGTCTTTTTTTTTTTTTTTTTTGGGTCTGGTAGTGGGGCCCGAACTCTGGGCCTGGGCGCTGTCCCTCAGCTCTTCAGCTCAAGGCTAGTGCTCTACCACTTGAGCCACAGCGCCACCTCCAGCTTTTTTGCTTATGTGGTGCTGAGGAATCAAACCCAGGGCCTCAGGCATGCAAGGCAAGCACTCTACCACTGAGCCACCTTCCCAGCCCCAGAGCACTAGGTCTTGAGCTGAAGAGCTGAGGGATAGCACCCAGGCCCAGAGTTCAAGCCCCATGACCACCACCACCACCACACCAAAAAGAGTCTTGTAGACTTTCCTGCCCTGGCTGGCTCTGAACCACGATCTCAGGTCTCAGTCTTGAGTTAGCTAGGATCATAGGCAGAATCTAAAATAATCTGCCTGGCCCCCAAGCCCCAGAAGCCCCGGACTCAGCTTCTGAGAGGGTACCTGCCCACATGGAGCTGCAGGCAGCAGACTTTGGATGGGGTGGCTGTCAATCTCTGTTATACTATTCAGACACAGAAACCTCAGCTGAGACCAGGTGGAAGGAGGCACCCTATAACTTCCTGCTGCCCTCGCCCTCTGTTGAGTCTGGGGTGGGTGGGGGAGTCCCAGGATGGGGCCTCCAGAGAGCAGGCCTCCACTGACTGCTGACACCTTCTTGCCCTTTAACTTTTCCTCTTCCTCCTCCCCCTCCTCCCCCTCCTCCCCCTCCTCCTTCTCATAGTCTTTAATCTTGGGATTGCTGTAGGTTTGCATACCTTTCAATTTTTTGTTTTTTGTTTTTGGGGGTCCGGTCGTGGGGCCTGAACTCTGGGCCTGGGCGCTGTCCCTCAGCTCTTCAGCTCAAGGCTAGCACTCTACCACTTGAGCCACAGCGCCACTTCCGGCTTTTTCCTTTTTGCTTATGTGGTGCTGAGGAATCGAACCCAGGGCCTCGAGCATGCAAGGCAAGTGCTCTACCACTGAGCTACCTTCCCAGCCCACCTCTCAATTTTTTTTAGTCTAGAAACAATTTAAACCTTCAGAAAAAAAGCTACAGGAATGGTACACACCACTCTTGGATTGTAGGAGGCAGCTTCTTGTGTTGGGCCTGGGATTTAACTACAAGCGAGATAAAAGCAGGGTGCCCAGTCCCCCTTTTTACACAGGCACCTTCACATCTGCGCCATTTCCTCCTGCAGTCCCCCACAGTCACCTCCGAGCAGCACAGGGTTTACCACTAAGCATCCTGTGACCAAAAGTCATCTCTCCAGCCTCAGAGAGTACTGCCAAAGCTGGTGCCAGTGGCTCACGCCTGGAATCCTAGCTACTCAGGAGGCTGAGATCTGAGGATCCTGGTTCAAAGCCAGCCTGGACAGGAAAGCCCGACTCTCATCTCCAATTAATCTCTCTCTCTCACACACACACACACACACAATCTTAACTTCATCTGAATCCATCTAATTCCCATTCCCCGCCACAGGTCCCTTACTGTCCTGCAGGTTTGTGTCTCCCTTTTTTGCTGGGGCCAACCCTGGTTGCACACACCATAGCTGCATTTATTTTACACAGTCCCGGAGTCATTTCAGAATGGCTGCCTGTCTCAATGCGACTACCCTCCACAAGCTCACCAAAGAAAGACCAATGTGCGATTCCCTTTTTGCTTTAAAATATATACAGCTTGAACAACGGTCATTGCTTAAAAGCAGAAGGGACGCCTCTTGAGTGGGCTTTGAGGGGTGTACAGAAGCCAAAGGAGGACACGAGCCGCAGGCAGGGAGAAGGGGCAGGGGAAAGCAGGTGGTGCAGCAGCCGGGAGGTGCCATGCCTAAGGGGCTGGCGTCCTTGCCATGTCCGGCCTCCCTTTTGCCATCTGTAGCAAGGGCTCAAGGGAAGCCCGTTTCCAGGGCTGGCAGGGAAACTCCCTAGGGCCCTACCTGGGTGCAAGGCCTGCGGCCCCGTGTGCACACGCGCGTGCGCCCTCCGTGCCCGGCCTCGGTGACAGGCCTCCACTTCCTGCTGCTCCCCCACCGGGGCGGTTTCCAGCTCAACTTCAGAGGGACAAACACACTCAAAACAAAGGAGGAGCCCCCGCCGCAGAGGAAGCAGGAAGCCGTCCCACTCCGGCTGGCCGGGCGCACGCCGCGGGGATGGAGTCCGTGGCCCTGTACAGCTTCCAGGCCACGGAGAGCGATGAGCTGGCCTTCAGCAAGGGAGACACGCTCAAGGTACGGCCCGGCGGGGACTCAGAGCGGGGGGCCCCGGGGGGACCCACTTACTGGCTGTGTGAGTCCACACAGGCCACTTCTTCTCTCTGAGCCTCAGTTTCCCCACCTTCCTGTGGTCATGAGGACTCAAGATCGGGGCACAGTACCTAGAAAAAAATATGTGAACGTTCTTGAGAGGGCAAAGCAGAGTGTGTGTGTGGGGGGGGATGGGGAGAACAAGAGAGCACGCATGCACACCCTGGAAGAAACAAGCGTACACACTCATCTAATGGTTACAATAGGTATGACTTAAGTGCCCTGTATGAGCTGCCTAGCAGCATGGAGAAAAGGGAAAATACACCCCCCCACACACACACACGGCAGCCTCTCCACGAGTGTGTGGATAAATGTCCTTGCTTCTAAGTGCATGTGTGAGCTCAGAGCAGAAGCGGCTGTGCTGCTAATGCACCCTGAACCTGCCACTCTCTTCTGGAGCCCCAGCCTCCCTGCGGGAGCAATGACATCACACCCAGGACCCCCGCCCCCCCTGCCTCCACCCTGAGCCCTGGGCACTGCCCTTGACCCCAATCTTGAAGCACAGGGAGGGGCGGGCACTCCGGGGTGATGCCCCATAGGCTGGGCTCCAGACCTAGCCACACAACTTTAGCTGCTGGAGTGTGGGGGCACACCCCGCTTCCAGGAACTGGGATGCAGGGAGGTGACTGACTTTCTTGGTGAAGGGTCACCTTCCAGCCTGAGTCCTGTCCCCTATACGCCTGAGCTGGCAGGGCAGCGTGCCGCTGGAGTCAGGGGGAAGGGGGGCCCATGCCCTTCCTTGAGGTGCCCTTGCCCATGCAGGATGTTGGCATGCCTGCCTGGGCGTGTGCATGTGGCCGGTCGGGCTGAGCACTAGGCCCAGCAGCCGGCAAGAGATGCCGGGCACCGGGGCTGGTCCGGGCCTCAGCCACTCATCAGGGAGGAAGCAGTCTGGTGGCTCTCAGCCCTAAGTAGCTGCAGGCTGTAAGGAGACAGGAGGAATAGGAATGGGGCCAAGGGACCCCCAACTCAGGCTTGGAGCAATTAGGAAGTGGTGGATGGAGCCAGATCAGCAGGGTCCCCCAAGGCAACTGTTCAAAAGTCTGACAGGGCGCTGGGAAGGTGGCTCAGTAGTGGAGC